TCTGCCCTTGGCCCCCTGGCATTTGTCTTCCTGCCCTCTGCCCCTTGGTCCCTCCCCCCTCCCCTCTCCCCCTCCACACAAGCCCCTTCCTCTCCTACCCCTCTCCCTGTTCCCCCCCCTGCACAAGCACCTTCCTCTCCCACACCTTCCCCTAGTTTTCCCCCTTCCCTGCCCCTCCCCTACCTTCTGCCTTCCACTTTGCAGGGCTGGAGTCTGCACTTGGGCTCCAGAAGTCTCCGGACTCTGAAGCCGGAGGTAGGCCACACGGTGCAATGCTGCGCTGAGCAGTTTTAAAGTCCCGGGCTGTGACATCATGCACAGCAGGGTCAGTGTGGGGCCGGGGTGGGAGGATGCGTGGGGGGGCCGGCAGGTGGGGGCCAGGGTCTGCTCCCGGCAGGGACGGGGGAGAGACCCAGCTCCAAATGTTGATGGAGCAGGGCCCCCGGCTCTGAATATTGCTGGAGCATGGGCACCACGAGCCCATATAAATCACTGCCCATGCAAGTATTTCCTGTGCAGTTTTGGAAATCTACCACAAAACACTGTCCTAAAGAATGGGACACTGTCTACTTCTTGATTTTTCCATTGTTTGAGCAAACTGCATCAGTGGTGAAAAATTGTGATTTTCTTTTAAATGCTTATTCTAAAGTTTCAGTAACACAATCTTGTAAACGGGGTTGTCAGATTTTCCCTTAGTTCCAGGTATAAACACAAATCTATACTGTACCTTTCAGCTGTTGTTCTATTGTCCATTTGGGGAACTTTGCCTTGATTCCATTTATCATGCCAATAAAGATTCGTGTTGCATCAAGCAGGTGGTCTTCATCATTCCACCGTCCAACAATTTTATGATTGTTTTTATCAACCTAGAAAAGCCAGAGGGGAAAAAGAGGATGTGTTTAAATTGTCTATTTCTCTCAATATAATCTATGTTATTTTAGTTGTCAAATTTTATTTGATAGACCAATTTTTGGTAATGTCCATGGATCTTCATTGCATTTCCTGTTGTACTCTGAGCGGACTCCACAGAACAGTACATTGGACTGGGCTAATGAAAAAGGATGTCTTATAATGCATCGTCTTTTCCATTTCAAATTGTAGTTATGTATTTGGCTTCTACTGCTGCAATGTCTGATGCTGCAGTTTGTGGGCCACACTTCTTGCCCCAAGGAGGAAGTTAAGGGTTTTATCTAGGAAAAATCGTCTTGATTTCTCATCCTTAAAGACTTTAATCTTTCTGAATAGTCTCATTGACTTCATTATAAACATGGACTGCCACAGACGACAAAGGCCTGGCTAAATTCAAAGAAATGCAAAAGTTCAGAATGAACCATAAATTTATACTCTGTTCTTTTGTTGTTTGATTATCACTGACAGTCTTAAAAGAAGCAATGTGCACTAAGCGGTGATAGGTGCATGTTTTAAATTCTATCATCATCCCTAAGGACTTTGTGGATAAAGCCTGCCCTGTCATTCTGAACCTGCCAGTTTTCACCTTGTCTTTTTATCTGACGCTTTCCCCCTAACTTGCTGCTGCCACTAAGGACTTCACTTTTCTTCTACAGAAAGGTAAAATGTGCAGCCTCTCCAGGAGCTTCTGTTAACCCATAGCATTAGCTGATGTTCAAACTGCATCACAAGAAGCAACCTTTGCACTCCCAGGCCTGGCATGTGCCAGTGTGATGTGCTGCTGCCTCATCTAAGGTGCACCGTGTAGGAGAGTGTCATGTATTGATCTCAGCCTGGGGCTAATGAGACATAAAACAAGCTGAGTCTGTGGAAACATTTTGCTACACAATAGTATTTTATGGATTGTTACTGACCTGCATCAAACCAAAAGCATTTCCATTATCACCCCAGCCATTCTTCAGGGAAGCTCCAGCATGAGACTCTCGAGAGATAATACCAGCAATCAGAGCTGGATCCACACATGTTTTTAGGCCAGTGCCCTTAATGATGGCTTTGTATTTGTTCATATTATTTAAGTCCTTCTCAGCGATCTTTTCTGACGCTTGAACTCCTATAGTAAATGTGAAAATAAGGGTGTTTTCTATAAGATTAAGTCAATGTGAGAGATTTCAGAAGCCCAGAGCTCTGTTCTGCCATCTGAGAGTTACATGCATTGTGAATTTTGCCCTGTCAATGTTAATGTGTCAAGGCAAAAAAAAGAAGTGTGCCATGAAACAACATATAAAAGCTGGTTTGATTCCTCTTTCTTTATGTGCCAGGATGAAGGTGAATGGGCTTGGGAGGAGGAGCATGCTCAGCCTCTGAGCAGAAACTAGCAACAACTTGTCATTGTCTGGATGATGCAAGAGAGATGTTGAGAGGAGTCGCATCTACCCTCTGTGGCCAGATTAGGACTGTACTATGGGGTTTCAAAGTTCCAAGGGGATTCTTGGTGGGATTCTTAGTGACAGAGGCAGAAGGTAGAAGGGGACAACTGCATTTTGAATTTCCCATCTCACCACCATTTAATGTTACATTAGGAGGGAATCTCAATCCTACCAGCATGGAAGGCTTTGACAGTAAGTCCAATTTATTTTGTAGAGTAAAAGAATAGGGAATGCCTTGTTGTCTAAAATACCAGATCCACCAGATCAATAGTTTAATGTAATGAGGTGTAACTGAGCAACTGGGATCAGGAAATCCTCAGTACCAATCCCAGCTCTGCCACTGATTTGCTGAGCAGCCTCAGGAAAGTCACCTGGATCAAATTTTAATAAGTGACAGTTAATTTTGAATGCTTCAAGAAGAGATACCTTGGGCCTGATTTTCATAGATTTTGAACATTCACAGCTTCTGGTAACTTTAATTAGAAGTGCTTATGTGAGCACTTTTGATAATTAGGTCCGAAATATTTGAGGTTGGACGCCTAAAGAATCATAAGCCACCTGTGTAAACACTGATGGTTTCATCTCAAATGTAGCTCCATTGAAACCAGGGGAGTTACACCAAAGATTTAATATTCCTCTGTCTTAGTTTTCTCCTCATGTGAAATGAGGAAATTAGTCAATTAAAATATTGTGAGGTTTAATCCATTCATGCGTGTAAAGTACTATAGATCATTGTGATGATTCTGTGTCCTGAGATACAGCAGCATTCTACTCACCACAGAAGCTTAAGCCTTCTGCTTTTGCAGTTTTACAGGAAGCCCCAATGGTATCAACCTTGGTTATGTCACCATAGCATTTGGTCTGACTCGCAGAAGTACCTGAAATTAAATGGAGTGATTTTACATTAATACCTGTTGTGAACATAAACTCATTCTTCCATGTCCATAATTAGGTTTTGTAGGAAGGTTCAGAAAAATGCCTTAATCTCTTATATTGTCCCTTCCCCTCAGTCATCTCTTTACATTGTTGCTTTGGAAGTGAGTTTAGACATGAAATAGTGAAATAGACATGGACCTCAAACTCACCAAAAAGGGCAGCAAGGCCCAGAATCATCAGCGTGAGTACCATGGGGACAGTTCTTCTCAAGTGACCAAGAGAGCTGGAAAATAAATCCAAGTCTGCAGAAAAATTGAAATATCTAAATATGCAAATACTGGTGTGAAGAAATACAAAGAAACGATGGGATGTCTTTCTTCACTGAATGTGCAAATACTTAAATCGAAGGGAATTTTGTGTACTCATGTGTAAATATTGGGATGGTGGGCACAATAATACCTATGTCTCTTTTGACACTGAACACAAAGATTTCAGTGTCAAAAAGATCTGGGAGACTAAACACAGCAAATTGTAATAATTTAAATTTGATCATATTCATAATTTGCCCCATAGCATCTTAATAGCTTACTTCAAAGTACAAACCCCAGTAATATTTGATCTGGAATGAAGGTACCTGCCACGGCTATACATGCACCTTTACTCTATGCCAGGGTCTCCTATACACATGGGGCAGTTGTTTGCTAATTGTTATTTCTATGAGCAGAATAGAAGAGATTATCCCCTCCACTCTTTACATCAATTCCAGGATGCTGATTTTCTAAAAAGTAATCTGAATAATCATCAGATACCTCATCTCTTCTATGCAGCGTACAGCACTTTATAGCATTAACAGCTACTAAGGATATGTCTTCATCATGGACTAGGGCTGTGATTCCCAGCTTCCGTAGACATTCTCATGCTAGCTTTCCTTAACTAAATGCACTAAAAATAGTGACATGGCTGCAGGACCACAGTCCGCGGTGAGTGGTGGCACGGGGAGTACATATCCATGGGGTTGGGCAGGTCGGTACTCCACATTGCTAGTCCCTATCGCTGCTTTCCATGGTCCATGTTCCCATAACTGCACTACTGATTTTAGTAGTTTAACAGGGCTGTACTCTCTACCACAGCGCCTCTTGTGTCTATCTCGGGAATTAGCTCTGCCACCCAGGAGCACTCTCCTCTGGTGGTGTCTTGGCAATAGTTACCTATCTCTTTCAGGGTCTCCAATACATTGGGGGCTATATTCCTCCCAGGTTGGGGCACCCTTTCCTTTGGGTAGTGCCCTCTCACAGTGCCCACCCCTGAGTTCCTCCATTGACTCCTCTGATGTGAAGTCCTTCTTATACAGCCCACCCGGGCCCTGACTGGCTGCTTTAAGTTACCACCTCATTAATCCTTGCCTCCTTTGTGCCTCTGTTTGTCAAAGGCTGGAGATAGATGGCAGGAGAGAGATCACTTGATCATTACCTGTTCAATTCACTGCCTCTGGGACACCTGGCATTGGCCACTGTCGGCAGACAGGGTACTGGGCTGGATGGACCTTTGGTCTGACCCAGTATGGCCATTCTTACATTCGTAACAAGAGGAACAGATTGGGGCTGGTGGAAAACCTTGGTGTCTGCCTGAAAACTGGCAATGCCTGTAGGCCTGGGAGCCAGAGGTTACAAAGTCTCGGAGGGAGCCAAAAGGCAAGGAGAAGTTAGTGAGGGAGGGAGTTAGAAGCCTTGTAGCTGGTGACTGATTCTGCTTGGGAGATGAGCAAAACTTTGTAGCATTTCTATCTAGCTGGACGCTGGTGGTGATGAAACTGGGAAGGAAAAAAGGACATGTGTGTTCTACTACAGTGAAGCCTTCTGAGCCTGGAAGGGAAGCTAGTCGTGCATGCTATTACAAGTGCCCTAGAGCAAAAAGGGTGAGTGACTGCGTATGTGAGCTGGGAATTACACTCCTACTTCATAACGTAGATGTTTATCTAAAGACAATTCCTGGAGACTTTCCTCCAGCAGAACTCTCACTGAAGTCAACGCATGAGAATTTGGCTTTACATGACTACCCCCAGGACTTTTCTAAGGAACAGAATTCAGAATAGCTCCCTCTCTGAATTAGCTTAATATTTTACTCACCTGTCTTCAATTTCTCTTCTAGAAGATGGATGGTTTTGAAGAGCTTTATATACACCTGCCAGTACTTCCCTGTTTACTCAGCTTGTTCAAGTTTCATAACTAACACAAACTGCAGTTTTTTTTGTTTTGTTTTTAAAGCAACAGATACAATGGGTAGGATCAGTAACTATCTCAGGATTGTGACATGTAACTTCTTTGCACCAATGTATCCAAAGAAATAGCAGGAGGGGCACCTTTGTCCAGCTGAGGGGACAGCAGAAAATCCTGGTGTGAATGAGCTGGTCCATTGTGGCAGGCATATTTGAGTGAGTTTTCCCATAGAGGCTGTAGGATACTAGGGACTGTGCTTCATTAACAATAAACCTGGCCGAGTGCCTTCATCAGCAAACTGACTCTGGTCTTTCAGAGTTTACATAGGGAGAACAACACACACAGCAGCTGACAACAAAGCAGGAAGTTCAGTCCTAATTCTGTGCTTGATGTGGGATTTGCAGTGATCCAATGAGTCATATGCAAGTTGTGAGCATTTGGGAGCAGCCTGGGGATGCCAGTTAAGGTGTTAAGATACCACTGAGTCAGTCTATTTCATCAGCCTGGGCCCCGCTTAAGCTCTGTCTTGCTAAGCCAGGCACTAAAGCCTGCTCTAGCAAAGCTTAGAACTAGGGTCACAGCCAGCTACAGAAAATACCATCACTGAGAACAGTTCTAGGAAGCCTCAACTTCAGGGACTTACTATAGCACCCAGATTTCCCTTCCCCTTTGTAGTACATACTCAAAGTTATATGAGGTTCACCGCAATGTGAGGGAAGATATGCACAGACTATCTCTGCCCACCCCTGCCAGTAAGAAATTACATGAACTGGATTGTATTATAAATCAGAAATAGGTTTACTAACTATGAAAAGATGTATTTAAGTGGCTAAAGAGGTAGCAAATGGAATAAAGCACACAATAATAATACAAAGCCACAATCCACTCTAAATTCACCAAAGAAACTAGTTACAACTAATAATTTCTCACCCTAGACATTATTTGACTCCTCCACAGGTCAGAGGTGTCTGGATTTTGAGATGTTTATTCCTTATGAAGGAGTGAACTTCTGAGAAAGCAGTAAAGGACTTTCCCTTCTCGGCTGTTATTGGAAGATCAGACCCACCTCCATGGGCAGCACACACACGAGGTTATTTCTGTGCTGCAGCAACCACAGAATTGGGCTTCGGGCTCCTGAACAAGCCAGGGCAACCTTCCCTGCAGGGGATGGCTTCAGCCAGGGCTCAGGGCTGTGGTTGCCACAGCTCCAGTCCCTGCAGGTTCTGCCTAGCTCTGGGCTAGGGATGTGAATGACTAGTCAATTAAGCAATGCTTATCAGTTGACTACTTGCTCCCTTCCCCCCCCCCCCTTGCCTCCTCTATCAGAAAGAGGCAGCAGGGGAGGGAACGAGGTGGGGATGATTCAAAGCGGCTGTGCTGCGTGGAGCCTGGGGCCAGATCCTGAGCTCCATGCCGCGCTGCTGCTTTGAAATGTTGTGTGCAGCCAGGAGCCAGCTGGGGACTCCCCCACTGACCCTGCCGCTTTCAAATGCCACGGGGCGCATGAGGCCAGCAGAGGACTGCTTGAGTCCCCTGCTGCGCTGTCGCCTTTGAAGTATAGCAACAGCCCTGAGGCAGTTGCTACACTTCAGAGACAGAGGCACCCTTATTGGCTATTCGATTAGCCATTTAACATCCTTGCTCCAGGCTTTGCTCTCCCTCTGGCTCCTGCCTGGGCTCAGAACTCCAGCTCTGGGGTGGCTGCCGCTGCTCCTCCTCTCCTTCCCCCTGCAGTTCCTGCTGGTGGGAGGGAGACTCTGGGCACTCAAGCTCCAGGGGATCTGTTCTCTCCCCCCTTGTGGCTCCTGCTTGGAATCAGATCACCTGGGCTCCAGGAATGCTGCTGCCCTTGCTTTCCCCTCCCTCCCTCCCTCCCTCTCTCTCTTCCCATGGCTCTTGCCTGGGCTCCAAAGGGACTGTAGCCTCCTGAACCCAGAGAGGAGCTGCATAGGGTTGAAGTCCTGAGTGCCAGCTGGAGCCCAGGCACTCCCCCAATCCTAGTAGGAGCTATTGGAAGGGGGCAGCAGCCCAGAGCCTAAGCAGGAACCCTCCATATGCTGCTCAGAAAAGCAGCTGCTGGGTCATTTGAATCTTCATACATGGCCCCTGCCCCCAACACAATCCCATTGGCCTCTTTCTGGCCAATGGGAGCTTCTTGTTTGAAGATCAGGTAGCATGTGAAGCACCCTTCCTTCTCTCCTGAGGCTCTTATTCACTGACACACCATGCAGCTGGTGCAGGGCAAACAGGGACACTGCATGAGAAACATGCTGGGCTGGGGTCACCCAAGTAAGTCTCCCAGCCAGAGCCTGCCTCTGGCACACTAGTCCCTCGGTTCCTCCCTCAACCCCACATAAGCCAAATGCACTGTTCCCCTTCTGAACCCATACCCCCTCCCAAACCCTGTATCCCAATCCTTTGCCCCAGGTCACAAGCACTTGCTGCCCCAGGTCACAATCAGAACCCCTGTAACTTCTTGTGCAGTCTAGTCCCCTGCCCCAAGTCACAACTGCCCCTTTCATCCAAACTCCCACCCAGACCTCACATCCCTTCCTGCAACAAATCCCTTACCACAAGATCCCTTTTGCACCCAACCTCCATCCCAGACCCCACGCCTCCTCCATGAATATCATGGAAGAGTGTGGCCCTGGACCGCTTACAAAAATCTTGAGGTGCCCCCCCTATCAAAAAGTATTGCCTGCCCATGATCTAACTCCTTGTTTGGGTGATTTGGCATTACCAAGTTGCACATAGGCCTGTGTGCTCATTACAGCCTCATTAGTAGAAGTCCTCCGGAACCTGCCTTGGACTAAAGATGGTCCTTAGAAATTATTCAATGATTATAATATTCTCTGCTTTAGTCAATGAAGACATGTTGGCCTAGAACCATTTTGTTGCCAGGTACCATGGCCAATAGCCCAGGGTGCCACCGAACAAAGGTGAATTTCCCAGGGAAATGCTCTATTCTAGTGTAGGGCTGGTGTGGTTCTGGAGTCTGCCTCTGTTTTATCTAGAATGGCTTTTTCTACCATTTGTGTAGGATTGCCAGCAAGCAAAGGCTGGTAGGAGCTTTTCCTGAAAGGAAGGGAGCCATGCAAGCTGCCCAAGAGGATCTAGTCCTTGCTGTTGTGACTGCTGCCTTCTTAAAGCTGCACAATTCATCATTGGGACTGAATTCTGACAGATCCAGTAGCTGCTGGATTTCTCTTCTTTGTGAGCCAGCCACCTGAGTTCCTGGGTTCACTTCTTGAGGCACAGCAGGAAATGCTCCTATTGGATATGCTGAGTGTCTCACTACTGTAAACATAAGAATGACCGCACTGGGTCAGACCAATGGTCCATCTAGCTCAGTATCCTGTCTTCTGGCAGAGGCCAGTCCTAGGCACTTTTTACTTTGCTATTCTGGTTTTACATGGACTATTATCATTATCCAACCTTTGCTAACTTTCCAACTGGAAAGATAAATATTTGACTCTTGCTGCATTTGCTACTATTCTTATTGGCTGTGTCCAGACTGGCCAGTTTTTCCAGAAAACCAGCCGCTTTTCTGGAAAAACTTGCCAGCTGTCTACACTGGCCACTTGAATTTCCACAAAAGCACTGACTTCCTACTGTAAGAATTCAGTGCTTTTTGCGGAAATACTATGCTGCTCCCGTTCAGGCAAAAGTCCCTTTTGTGCAAAACTTTTGAGCAAAAGGGCCAGTATAGACAGCTGAGATTTGTTTTGCACAAAAAAGCCCTGATCGCGAAAATGGTGATTGGGGCTTTTTTGTGCAAAAGCGCGTCTAGATTGACCATAGACGTTTTTCACAAAAAGTGCGTTTGCGGAAAAGCGTCTGTGCCAATCTACACGCTCTTTTCCAAAAATGCTTTTAACGGAAAACTTTTCTGTTAAAAGCATTTCCGGAAAATCATGCCAGTCTAGATGTAGCCATTCAGTCTGTATCCTTATTTCAGTTTGATTAAAGGGATCCATCACCACCTATTGTCTGTTTACAGACATGTGTTCAGCCAAGCACGTTGACAGAGGACTGGGCAACATCCTTGGACCCTTTAAATCAATGCCAAAGCCCTGTGAGGTGCTCTACAGAGCCTGGGGCGGCACATTCCCGAGAGTGCTAAGGGCCAACTGCCAAGGCCCTGCCCCCTCCAATTAAGGCCCCACCTCTTAGAGTATGGTACCATGCCCCCAGTTTGCCTAGGGCCCGGTGGGTCTGTTGGCTTGCAGATGTATAGTTGCAAGGACAAACTATCAAAAGAAATCAGGAATTTAAAGTTCAGGCTTCCTTCCCCCAACTGATTACTTTCCTCTTTTATTGTTAAGACAGCAGCAAATACTGAAATATCTCATGTCGTTGTTGCTCGAAATTGGAAGACAGATGATTATGACTAGCCAGACAGAGCAGCTGTAATAATTCAGAGAATCAATCAGATAAGAGTTTTAATAATGTTCTATCCTATTTCCATTCCTTTTGGTAAGACCACATTTGTTCTGAAGTTACCATATAACACCAAGACTGGAAAAATTTGGTGGCTGAGTCTGTAAACTCTTATTTGCAGAAGTGTAACTAGGAATTTTTGCACCTGGGGCAAAATATTAATTATGCCCCACCTCTAAGGGTTAGCGTATGTCTCTCTTTATTTTTGCAGCTTATTATTTTTACTTGTTGTGTCTCTGCATCCCTGATTATGATGCACCTGAGGAAATTGCCCCACTTGCCCCACCCTTTTTACAACCCTGCTTATTTAAGCAAGCAAGCGCTATTGTGTATGCAAAAGAGAACTCCCCATATTCAATATCCATTTCTCTTATAAAACTTGGCTCGTGCAACTACATCATTGGCATAATCCTGGTGAGTTGTGCCATTATCCACTCCAGGATAATTATGGACGTTTCCTGGTCCTGTATTGTAGGCAGAAATCCCACCTGAAACATTAAAAGGGAATTTAAATTACATACAGAAAAAAGAAAAAAAAACAATACAAATTCCAGCTAGATCTTTCTTCTTTTTATTTAGGATATTAAATAAAATAAAAAAATTGGCTGTGTATGAATTCTTTATTACATTGTAATTAAATAAAAAGGAGGCTCTCTGCTGAGTCCACGCAGAATTAGAGGGCTTTAGGGTTTTTATGTCAAAAAAGTGGCAGGAGCTTGGTGAACCATTTGGTTAAGCACATTCAAATAGACACACTAAATCTTTGAACCAGGCCTATTTTTAATAGAACACAAGCTCCAATTACCATATTACAATTATTTGCAGGACTGAATGTAAAGTAAGGGAGAAAATTAAAACATGAACTCGCATTTAATTCCACTCCCTTTCCTGAATCTCTGCTCCATATAACAGTGCACAATTTTGCAGTTACTTGAAGCTCTGTCCCATTCCTAAAAATGCACTCCACACCCACATTCCTATAGTGATATAAGGATAATTCCTGGAATGATTCAAATAAACTGCAAGTGCTCATTGCCTTCAAAGGCACCAGGATTTTACTGATGGTGAATTAGTAGAGGCCTACATTTCTGTATAAACTAGATTGAGAGGGTGGGAATGGATTTATAAATGTTCACTACACCACTCAGTATTGCGTCAAAGAACAAAAAAACCCTGCTGTAACTGACTAACCAGTTTCACTGCCCAACTATGCAAACAAACAAACAAAAAAATCAGAAAGATAATCAGCGCCCATGGTGAAAAAAAAATGATACTTAGAAATAAAAAGCATTTAAAATATCAGTTACAAAAAACCCTCTAATATGATTTTTGTGCTAGAAATCTTCAGTATTGCGTCAAAGAACAAAAAAACCCTGCTGTAACTGACTAACCAGTTTCACTGCCCAACTATGCAAACAAACAAACAAAAAAATCAGAAAGATAATCAGCGCCCATGGTGAAAAAAAAATGATACTTAGAAATAAAAAGCATTTAAAATATCAGTTACAAAAAACCCTCTAATATGATTTTTGTGCTAGAAATCTCCTTAGCTCCTGGCCTGAAAACAGTCTATATTGTACCTTTCAGCTGTTGTTCCGTGGTCCATTCAGGGAACTTATCTTCAATTGTGTTAATCATATCAGCAAGGATGCCTGTCCCCTGATCGAGATGTTCCTGGCTATTCCATGATCCGACTGGGGTATGGTAGCGTTTATCAACCTAGATGTACAGAGAGAACACTACTACTGAAAAAGATGATGTATTTCTGCTGTTCTTCCCTCCCAGAACACTCTACGCGACTCAGTCTCAAACCGTGGTTGAGAAATTACTCAAATATTCAACTTTACTGTACTTCTCACTGTAATCCCAACAAACACTGAGGGAGAGTACATTGGATACTGCTAATGAAGAAGGGTTTATCCTAATATGCATCTTCTTCACCATTTCAAGTTATAGTCGTTAATTACACTGGTCTACAATTTTTTAGATGTCATCTGCTTCAGAGATAAAAATGTGCTATTTACTGTGTATTTTGATGTGCTGAATTCAAATATGACAATTAAAACAACTGACTGGCTACTGTTTCCAATATATTTAAGTTTACATTTTACGTCTATGTATATTGTGTAGATAGAGTTTTAATCATAAATTGTAAACCTAAGTCTTTTCATGTGTTTATGGTTGCTTTACATGATAATATTTCACCTGTCTGGTTTATGTAACACTTTAAAAATCAGCAAAAGGGTTATATAAATAAAATTTATTATGAAACAAAAGGCAAAAAACTATTATGTACATAGT